TGTGGAGATGGCGCCGCCGCCCCTTGCTGGCGATCATCTAGGGCGGGGAAGCCCTTGCATTCCAGGTTGCGGTTCTGTCTTGATGAAATGCAGCTGCCGTGACTGGCGCCGTTGCACCAGACGGAAGCCACGAGCGCCATCTGCTGCGCGGACAGACCTCGAACCAGGTTTCCAAATACTCCACGCACGCTGTACCTCAACATTTGCGTCTTCAACAACCGAGATTACCAATCGAGCAGTCTACACGACAACCGCATGCTAGTGTTTGCCCGGCGCTCCATATTCAAAGGTACGTTGAGGCTCTTTGGATTTGGAAGACGACGAGACCTCGTCCGCGGCCTCCGAGACCGGTATCAATGCTTCCGATAGTTGCAACACTTGACGTCTTGTACTCGTTAATCATGGTGGCCTACTACGTCGCCTGATTATCATCATGCTCACCGCTCAATCGGCAATTGACGTGCAACCGGTCTGATTTGGTCTGAACAACCTCATCGGAAGAAAGAGATTGGAGCCCAGTAGCATGACGATAACTAAACAAGTGGGCGGGTGGCATTCGTAGCACCTGTACCAGGCTCGCCTCTCGCTATAGATACAGATCCGTGTCCGGAATCACGGAACTTCCATCCTCATACCAACGAATACTGTACCTGCAATTAATGTTTTGACTGTCCGTAGCGGACGGTAAGTCATGCAAAAGACTTGATTCAGAAAGAGGGGTCTGCACAAAACAGTTCCACAACACATGGTGGCGTGCATGCGTATCATGCCCCACTCTTCTTTCCGGTATACCAGCATCTTGCCCAGTGAACTGATGTTTTATCTTCAACAAACACTGCAGGTTCATTTACCCGGTATCTGGGTTTCCTTCAACAGCAGTGCGCACTTCTACTTGCAGGCCGAAGTGTTTTCAGGCAAAATGAGCAACATGTGCACTGCTGGCAGTCATCGACTAAGATCGTACTTGTTGAATCCACGCGCGTCCGGCTTCAGATGTGGAGAGATCTCTTAATCCAATCGTCATTCTTCTAGCGTTGATATGTTGTATGGTGAATTTTTGTTTCAGGGAATGACGTTGCCATAGGTTGTGTAAGGGGTCCAAGGACAATACTTCCCCATTCTCCATAGCTTTAGATCGTTGCAGTATCCTAGATTTGCGCTAACAAGATGAAACGATAGGCAGCAGACACTTCAAGTCAAAGCTGTCAGCTATGCGGAAGCTGGACGCCTTGAAGCCAGAAGCGGTCGATCTGGAGAGTGTCAGACGCTCTTCTAGATGGCGCACTTGTCTCTCAATAGCATAGTGAAGGCTATCGCGATGCAAGTGCGTTGTTTTACCTGGCACTATCTCGCTGTGTACTGGTTTACTGCACGCTGCTATGGCTGTCATAATCTCAATACACTTTGGGGTTTTCAGCGAATCGGCATCGCTCCGCTGATGCTTAGTGTGCGTCGCCTTTATCTGTCCGAGGCTCAAAAGCATGATGCTAACCAGAAAAGCTACAGTTTGGGGGCGTCATCAAGATCCCACATTCCTGGCCCACTAGCTGAAGATACTATCGGAGACCCACGGACCTGGATCAGAGATCTCTTTGTAGATCGAAGCCCTACAATCTCGCTCCAACGTGCACTAGATACATCGCTAGAACTAACATCATCTTCCGCACGCGACAAGCGAACGCAGTCCTCAGCGGCATTGTCGCCGTGGAGTCTATCGGTCATGTTTGAACAATTTAAAAGGCACCGTCGTTGCTTGCATGGAAGGCTCTCGTTAATGGCAGCTTAGAGCTTCGCACTTGTTTCGCATTCGCGTTGGTATGCAAATTCGCAAACATGGTAATCTAGGTAATGTCGGCTGTGAAATTTGTCACTTCCCCATGTTGAGCGGACAATTTCCCACTGTCTCTTACGCGCTAGGTGCACGTTCGCTTCCAGTCGAATGAGGTCTCTGTTGTGACCTCGGCAGCTGACGGTTGCCAATTAGGCTTGGTTCCTGCATATGACTAAGCTGCGCGAGCCGCAGATCGTTGGCTCAGCCACCTTCGACCCTTCTTTTCCCAGCTGAGATCGGCTTCACCTGCCGTTCGCACACATCTGCTGGCACTCATGCTGCAAAATCAATATTTCGGACGGCCAGGGTAGGCGATGCGACCGCTACGACTTGCCCTGACTGCAGGACAGCATGACGCAGTCGTGTAGTACCTCCAGAAATCGACGGGTTCGCATTCACTCCCACATCACTATTCAACATCACTATTCAACACTACAAAGTGACATCTTGACAGCTCCCGTCGAGCTGGATCATCTACTTCCCGTCAACTAATGCTGCCAAGCGTAGTCGGCTCGGAGAACATCGCTCGTGGTCATATACGCGGATTAGCATGCGAAAGAGAACCCGGGACAATCAAGATCTCTTGGCACGGGAACAAGAGTCTAACGCCGATCCGGCGTGCGGTTACCATCAGCCGCAGTCGGTGCTGATCCTGATCGTCCGTCTCCTGGGAGAGCGCCCCACAGAAGTCGTTGACAACTCGGTAGACAGTAGACACAGCCACAATCCCGCCAGGCATCCCTTCTGCAGTTCCATCGCGTACCCGAAGATCAAGCACTGAGCAGAATTTTCGCTACGAGTATTGCGGACCTGTTTTACGCGAGAAAACTACAGCATGCGGCGCAGACTAACGACGATGGCCTACTGCATTTGGACCTGCGTGACAGCGCACCTGCATCCATCATCTGGGACTCTGTCCCCACCGTCACCGGCCGGTGAGCTCTACGCTTGTTATCCTCTAACCACAAGCTCCAGGGGTGCACGAGATATCACTACTATATCTTGTTGGTGCATGATGGCTGCAATTTGTTTGTAAGTTGTGCGCATGGTACCGTCGTCTCTCTATTCCAGACCTGGCCAGCCTCGAAGCACTGGCTCGGGATGTAAGGATGATCGGTGCCGTCTCCGTTTCGCAACCAAATTACCTGCAGTGGCTTCAACGCTAACACGTGGCTCTTTCGGAACACCTTCGCGGAATGATGTGATAGCGGGAAATGGTGTCGTTAGCACAGGGTTCCGACAGGCTCCGTTTCGGGGCATTTACTCACACCTTGGTACGTCAGATGTGTCGAAACGGATCACTAGGTGCTCTAACGCCAACCTTAATTCCAGCCAGGCCTGGCAGGACCTACCTCTCCCGGTCACAAGGTAGACCCCCGCTGCACTTCAAACATCTCGAACAACGACAATCGTTGTAGATGAGGAACCTTACTATCGACTCTCCTTTACTGTGCAGGTGTCGACAGCGTATCCTAGATTTCTAGGGAGAGAGAGCGTCTGCAACCACAAATGACGAACTGCAACCACGATCTCGTGAGAAATGACGTCAGGCCTCCATACGAGTATACGAGATCGAAACCATGCTCTTCATCGAGGGGAGATCTCAGCGCAACGTCCCCCGCCGTCACTGTCAACGGGTCTCGGAAACCTCGCCTATCGCGGTACATCAGAACTGAAAATCCGCAATGTAACTGTGTATCCTGTTGCATGCCGCAAAAGCGTAAACACCGGGCTGAGCAGAAACGCTCATTGCTCCGGCGCACCTCATTCGTGCGCCTCGCTCAAAAAGAACCCACCACCAATCCACATCGCCACCCCCGGCCGACAGCGTACTGACAGCATGCAATGGCGGAGTTGCGCGATACATTGCAAGGTTTTAGGCGTGACATCTGTCGCTCTTTTTTGCTTCTCCCGTACCGTTGGCTGTGCAGTGTAGATCAAGAGTTGCTTCTCTGTCTTCCTGGGCACGCGAGTCCGGCCAAGCCTGGCGGAGATGCCTCCGCAACGCCTCGGTACAAAGAAAGGGAGAGCTTTTAGGTAAAGGCGTTCAGCTGCGTATAGGTGCTGTACCTAAGGCGCATGCGTTCAGGCGAGCATCGCCGGCTGAGGGTGTGGTGCTCTACTTTCAAGTCCAGAGCCACCTTTCTTGCTTCCTTTTTCGATCTCTAGGTGGTGATCTCTTCGACTGCATCTCCGGCGTCATTTGCAGAGGGGGCTGTGTGCATGATCCAAACCCCACGAGTTTTGAATGCCACTATTCGCAACTATGCATGACAGCATTAGAACAACACTTGACGTCGTTTGATGAGTAAACGCTTCAGGCGGGTACAGTGCCCGCACGTGGTCGACCAACACCATGGGGTAGTGCGACTTGTATATTAGCGCGATTGATTTGTTTCAGAGATGTGATATCGATTCTTTATTAAGTGTACATCCGGAGCGGAAAGCCATTCGTTCACCCCGGGCCTTCTCTCGCGGCCCAAGTCTCGATGCACTAGTTTAGCCGTAGCTCTTGGTAGCGTTAAGTACCTTTTCTAATCATCTGTGAAGAAACTCTGGATTCTGGAATCAATATTGCTTGTAAAGGCGATCGTGATGATGAGTCTAGCTACACGCCGAGGCTCGTATTGTGTGACTTGTACGTATCTTTTACACTGTTAATTTTGAAAGAGAGCAATCTAGCCTCTGCAATAGCATCGCTTGGCCTACGTGCAGCTTCTCGGCCTTGAATCGATGCATGATCATGAATGTATGTGTAATAATGATATGAGAATGACTTCAGAGCTTAACAGATCATTTCTCAGATACTAATGAAGACCGTTGTTGACATGCGTCAGACATGGAGCAGCACCTGTAAATGCATGCTAGTCCTATCGCAGGAAACCTATGTACACATTATTGCTGGATGTATTGTGCCGGATACATCTGCCCAGGCATGCAGTATACGCATCCGTGTATCAGCCTAAACAGAACACGAGAGAGCACAACGCGATTTCTTGAGATACGAGAAAGGACCGAAGAGTCGACGTTGACTTTAACCGTTATCTGTACAGTATTAATACATCCTTGTATCCTCCAGCCTTCCCTATCAAGAAGCCCACGTGCCCAGCGCCATCTCCGTAGCCCCTAATCCTCGAACCCATCTTCGTTCTCGAAGCCTTTGTACTCATCAATCTGTGCGTTCAGAGATGGCTCGGAGGAGTTTGATCCACTGTCGGACGTCAGGAAAGTTGTGCGGACCCATGGGAGACTCGGTCAGTACAACACCTTCGCAAAGCCAATTACCCCTCGAAATATCCTTGGCTGGCTTCGTATTTGCAAACAGATTTGCGACTTTGTCTAATGCAACCTCGCCCTCAGCTCGCGAGCCTAACCAATGTCGAAGCCGAAGACACATCAGACTAGTCGCTACTGGTAAGTGAAGATGGCCGTAAAGGTTTGCGATTGATCGAATCTGCTTCATCTCGTCAGATTTCTCAATGTTGTCCTTTGGAACCGGAATCGGGGGCCCGTTGAACATCTGGTCTCGTAAGCTCATACACCAGTCATCCAGATCGGTCTCCAATAGCTCGGGAAATATCTGTGCCAGACCAGCTGACATTAACGTCTTGTACGATACGGCCTTGTATCCAATGCCTCTGATTGGTCCATGAGCCAAGTACTCATGAAGTCCGTCGGGCTTGAACAGGTGCGGAACATGCCAGACCAAGACGTCTACATCCAGCTGGTGTGTGTCCATGATTGCGACGTGGGGACCGTATTCTTCTTCTATGGATCCAGCATAGCAGAGAGCTAGGTGAAGTGACCCCGTCCATGAGCTAAATTCGGAGGTGAAAACAGATTTGGTGTCGTAATAGTCTTGCACTACTTTGTAAAGCTCACTTTCAGGCTTGTCGTAGAATCCGCTTCCAGAGGCTTTCTTCATGAAGCCGTGCGGAATGATCTCCTTGACACTGTTAGTTGCGTGTTCTGATCCTCCACCGCTGTTGCTGCTCCAAATACGAAATAAGAATTGAGGGATATGGTTCTTGCGGAGATCTGTGAGAGTTAGCCAAGAGCGTGATGTGAGAGCAGGGTGGAGTACCTTCGCAATATGCCTTGCGGTCACCCGTAATTGGCTCCATGTTGCTTGCGTCCAGCATGATCGCCTAGGTATGGTCAGTGTCGATGTCGTGGTTAAGGCAGAAAGGTCTTTGAGGATGGGTATTGGATGATAGAAGAAGATTGAGGAATTGTTGGATACGGTTATAAGTGTGGTAGCAGTTTTTCTAGATAATTATGATTTTGATCGCTCTTATTGTCCTTGCGACACAATAGCAAAAGACGGGAGGTTTCGATTTTCAAGTAAGTGAGGTGAAGGCGACAGTCCGTCCTCCAGTCACCAAGAGTTCTCCGCCTGAGTGCTAGGCAACGACTCTCTTTGAGACAGCAACTTCGATGCAGATTTCGGGGGCATCAAACGATGTTAGGGCTTGTTGTCCTATTCGGAGTTTTGAGAAGTTTAGCTCACGCTGAATACATCATAATTCGATGTCTACAGTGCCATCTCATGTATTGGAAACAAGGCCTCCAATGGACGCAAGCAACGCTACCTATGTTCTAGACATATACCTCCTAGTCTCCAACTACGCAAGTAACATATCCAGGAAATCATCTCACTCTTTGCAGCAAGCTTCAAGACAGACTAAACGTACATTCTCGAAGTGCACGGATATGCCTGCCTCCAGCAGCCGACCAAAAATCTGCACTCCAGCCTCTTTGTAGTCCTTTACTCGCTGCTTCGGGTCGTTATCGAAGTCGAGAGATATTCTTTTCAAGCTGCGCAGCTTGCTGCGGTCATCCAGAACCCCGGAGATCCACTCTATCACAGCGGTAGTCGGATCAGCCACATTAAGGTACTCTACATTCGGCGGCAGCGCCTCGAACGGATAGAGAGGGGAACATTCGTAGGGGGTTGAGTTGATGAGAATGCTTTGCGGAATGGATAGGCGCTTTATTAAAGTGAAACGTTGCAACGATCGCGATGGTCGGAGGTAGTCGATTTGTTTAGAATCTCCGGTATCAGTGCACTTCAGCTCCAGCTCTTCCAGCAGATGTGAGGCAGGGATCAGCGGATCGATGATGATGGAACTCGTAAATCCTTGCCCAGGATAGCATATGCGTTCCCGATTGTAGGTGGCGTAATATAGGTTGTCGTACCCATAATAGCCGTAAGCAAACCCAATACCACCACTCATGTTGTTATAAAGTTCTATCCAATTGGTGAAACACAAGTGCAAAGACCTCAGGGCGGGGAGCCGTTGGAAGAAAGGCGAGAGGTCTTGTGTATTGGCTGCCTGGTATTCGTAGAGTATTGGGCGATGTAGAGTCAAGGTAGTGATACCATGGAATAGGATAACTGGTTCTTTGTCCCATGCTACGGGCCCTGTACAGTCGAGTTCCAAGTGTAGCAGTTTTGGAAAAGTAGACCAAGACCTGTCCATTTCTCCCCAAGCGACAGATAGCCGTCGGAGGTGTGGAAGAAGCAAAGTACCAGGAGCAGTAACAGCATGCCTTTCGGCTATGCCAGGGAACGTCAGACTCAGGCTCGGCGGCGTCATGAAATCCTGGTTATCTCCAGAGCAGAACGCAAGATTCTGCAGCTGATCTGTCAACACCAGCAATAGGCCAATGCAAGCATGAAGATCGCCGTATTTGACTCTGCTGGCCCACTTCATCTGATCGATGGGCCAAGAATGTGTCGACTTTATTGCGTGTGTGACGACCTGGTCCCAGGAGTCATCATAGCCTACAGCCGATCTGTAAACTTGCTGAGGACCACGATATCCCGTTATTTGCAAAGAGCGGACCTTCTTAGCGAGATCTGGCCTTGTTACTAAGGTTCTGAGGAGTTCCGGAAGAGACTGGTAATGCGTCCTGAGACTAATGGAAGTGTGAAGAGCTTCTTGCGCGATGTCGCGGAACTGGCGTGCGGTTAAAGCTAGGTCTTTGAGATCGGGTGGCTGAAGGCGTAGCGCGATATCGAGCAGGAGCTCGTCAGGTAGGCTCTTAAGCTGAGCCATGATCGTGCTTCGAAACGGCAATATCGATTGGGAAGTTGAGTTGATGGTGGCGACAGGTCGGAGATGGAACGGAGATCGCAGCTCAGATAGAAGGTCAAAGTTGAGTGTGAAGGAAGCAGGCGTAACTTTCTCCTTTCACTTCGTCATAAGTAAGATTGCATCAGACTTCAAGTCTGTCTGTTGAATAGTCGCGCAGAAACTAAACCTTGGTCTTACCCTGCCGATACCACGGTACTTTGATGAGTCATGCGATGGCATGTAGATGATGAGCCAATAACAACTCCCGCAACACAAGCGGCGCTCATGTCTCCGAAGACCAACCGGCGCCTCAGCAATGGACATTGTTACTCATTGCTTGTGACGGCAGATACGCACATAGTCGCGCTTTCCACTTTTGGGTAGGGCGGTCTCTAGATGCCGTGCTGAGGACTTGCCACAGAGAAAAGGCGCTGCAGCAGGAAATGGGATGGCATTCACGTTGGACGGCGATGGTAAACTTGATCTTCTCGTATTTCTTTGGCTTAGTGCGCCGGCCATGGGTATCCGAATCTAAGCATCAGTACCCTGGAACATGTTGCCCACGCTCGTCTCAGACTTAACAGCATCCTCATGATAATGCGAACCCGCCGAGGTAACCGTAGTGTCCAACTCCTCAAGACGCCTCAAATCCATAGGCGCAGCCAAAAGCGGGATGACGTAAGGATCGAAAGTCTTCCAGTAGGGGTTGTTGAGGTGGTATTGCTGGGACTGTTGGAAGCGTTAGCCGAATCATTCGTACCCACACTGTTGACACCAGCCCCCCGTGAACACGTTCATCATCAATTCGGTAAGAGGGAGAAAAGAGGCATCAAACTCACAGATTCCTTCAAGTACCGCTCAACAATAGTAAACTTCCTCTTATCCACCGTATCCTGCATAACGAACCAACTCAGCGTCTCCTTATCCTTGCTGTACACCTGACTCGCTTCCACAAGCTTAGCACTCAGCTTGCTGATGCTCTCCTGGTCTTCCTTGGCGAGGAGGTGGACGACGATTGTGTAGACCATGTTGGCTTCTCTTGTTCCTTTCCTGCTTCCGTGTCTTGTTGTGTGCTGTGTTGGTGTGGAGACTAGCGATCAAGCTTTTCGGCTCGCTTGGAAAACGATGTCGCGTATGTGCTGGGTAACAAGTGGGACAGTATGATTGAGAAAGAGAAGAAGATTTGAACGTCGCGACAAACCACAGTAGATTTTTCTGCATCGGTGATGCTGTTTTTGCGGCCTAGTGACGTATCACCGCGACGGAACCCCGCAGCTGAAAGTGGAGTTCGGCCGATCTGCATGCCTTCCTTCCCACGCTACAAGCATCACCAAGGAACGGGAAGGAGCGCGCAGCCGCAACATCCCAAAAAAGCAAGGGAAGGAGCACAATGAGTGTCTTCGTAGGCGCGGGATGTAAGGCCGACGATAAAGCGAAGCCACGTGGGGACGTGGGAACGCGGGATGCAAGCACCGCCACCAGCACACTAAGCACAGCAACCAAACATTTTTTGAACTTGAAGATCAATTACACATCTAAACAACGGGAAAGAACAAGAACGGAAGTGCCTCCCAACACCCCGCCCTGTTCTTCCTCATCTATGTAGTAACTAAACTTGATAAGCTAAAGAAGGGGGGAATTTGCGAAAAGACAACGCAGTCGCACCGTAGCAACGCTAAAGTTACACCATCATCACCATTCCCAATTCCACCCAGAAAATTGAAAAAAACACCACCCCATATGCTATGCCATGCCGTTAAAGCGAATGATAATCGAAAACATGGGTACTACTACTATGCCCTGCTGAGCATCTTGAGCACCTCCTCCTTCTCGCTCGTGGGCAGGGTGCTGAGCAAGCTCATGACACCCTTTAGGCCACCCTCGCGGTCCTTGCGCATGAGCTGTGCGATTTCGAGCGCAATACCGTCGGTCTTGAGTTGCTCGATCTTGTCGCTGACGAGGGGCCTGTTCTCCTCGTACCAGGTTGCTACGGCCATGTCGTCTTGCTCCCAGTTGGGGATGTTGGACAGGTGCTTCAACATCTCGAAGCCGCGGCTGCGGGTGAGCGGGTTGGCCATGGGGTTGTCGTGTGTGGGCGAGGCGGCAGCGGCGAACTTCTTGAGGATGTACTCCTCGTTGAGACGGCGGCGCAGACGCCAGTAGAAGAAGCGGCGGGCGTTTTGCCAGCGCAGAGCTTGTCGGATGACACCCTTGGCTTGCATGCGGCCAGAGCGGTCGTGCAGATCGGCGAACTGGAGGGCAATTTGGCCGTAGACAGGTAGAAGTTTCTTCTCGCGCTCGGTCATCTGTGCCTTGATTTCACTGAGCTCGGACTCCGGTGTTGCTTTGTCGTTCAGCTTGCGCTTAAGAGCACCGTAGGTAGGGTCGTTGCGGGCCATAGTGTCGAGTTGACGTTCCCGACGGTACTTGATACCGACGATACCTTCGGGTTCGAGCACACCACCACGCGAGTCCTCGTCGGCGTACATCTCCATGAACTGAGGGTTGATAGTAGGATCAACAACGACCCAAGATCCACCACGGAGCTCGCCGTAAGGGGGAATGTAGACGAAGATGGGCTGTTCGAACTTGACGAGTGCATCGACAATGTAAGAACCGTACTTGAGGACCTCGTTGTACATGTCGCGCTGACCACCAGAGAAACCACGCCAGTTGGCAAGAATCATCAACGGTAGTTGCTCACCGTTGTTGAAGTCCTTGATAGCCTGAGCAGTCTTGAAGGCGGAGTTGGGGTACCAGACACCACCAGCCTCGGATGTGACCTGTTCGATGGAGTCGGGGTTGGCGGGATCAGCAGGTGTGACGTTCTCGACCGAGCGTGTCTCAACACCGATGACACCGATAGGGATGCCACCGAGGCGAGCACGACCGACGACAACAGTCTTAGCCCAACCACCAAGAGTCTCAACGAAGGAACCGCGATCGAAGAGACCAGACTGGAAACCATCCTCGTCCTCCTTTCCGGCGATGAGATGCCTAACATCGTAGGCTGACTTGCCAGGTGGGTAGTAGGTGATGTCGCGGTCCCAGTTGTCGGCAGATGGCGAGATCGGGACGGGGCTGCCCTTCTTGTCGGGTACGTATGACAGCCACTGGACGATCTTGGAGACACCCTCGAAGTCATCATCGGCAGTCGAGTGTGAGACACCGTTCCTGTACATGATCTGGGTACCACCAAGCTGGAGGTTAGAGGTGTAAACTTCACGACCAAGCAGCTTGTTGATGGCCTGTGCACCGGTGAGGATGATTGGCTGTCCTTCAATCTGGATGGCACGCTGACCAAGGCGGACGAGGTAAGCACCAATACCTATGTAGCGTTAGTAAACGAATTTGGACATCGTACAGAAGATACATACCAACTGAGCGGCAAGTCACCAAAGTGATGGTGAAAATGTCCTCGTACGCCCTCGATGTCTCACCAGCGATGAGACCGGAGCCACGGAGGGACTCAACACCAAGACCATCCTCAGCACCAATGACAGTAGTGATCTTGTAGCGGTTCTCGCCATCGACCTCAACCTTCTCGCAGATGACATCATTGCGCTTGCCATCAACAAAGTGCTCGTACTTCTCAGGTGTCAGGTAGAGGTAGTCGAAACCAGCCTCGGGTTTGTCGGCGTCCTTCCATGCAACAGAGAAGTGAGGAATGAGCTCCTCAGCAAGACCGATACGAGCACCAGAGTTGGCAGAAAGGTAGATTCGCGGGATGCCAAGCTTTCGTGCAAGCTCAGAGCACTTGTGGAAGAAGTTGTCTTCCGCGGGACCGAAGGAACCGATCTTGAATGTGATGTCGTTGGCGATGATGATGAAGCGACGGCCACGGGGGTATTCAGGCGTCTTTGCGGTGACCATCCATCCGACCATACCAATGGTGTTGTGGCCAGGGTCACGGTTGACCTCAGCCAGGTTGTCAGTGTCGTCAAGCACCAACTCGTAGTACTCAAGGCACTCTCCCTTCGCTGGCTGCCTGTCACGGAGGAAGGAGTGCTTCTTGATAGCCTCGATCCAGCTGTTCTCGGTAGCCTGGCGGAACAGCTCAGGGAAGTCGTACACGTACTGAGTACCCATGAGATGAGCCTTGTACCTCTTGGGCTGCAGCGCTCCCTTGGTGGGGTAAGGAGTCGAGACGGGCTGGAGGTGAAGAGCACCAATCTTGGTGGTTCCACCAATGCTGTGGAAGAGCCACTTGCCAGCCTTCTCGGACTTGCGCTCGGCGTACATCTCAACCTGGATGACGTATCCGGAGGTGTTGGTGATGATGACACGAAGAGGGTAAGGAATGCCAGTGGCGGGGTCGGTGACAATGATGCGGATCTCAGCGCCAGTGACACGGAGACGCCAGAGTCGTCGACCGAAGCGCTCCAAGAAACCGCCAATAGCCTCCTCAACCTCCGTGGGGTTAAGAGGGAAGACGTGTGAGAAGTTGATGAAAATGTGGTTCATGTCAGCCTGCGAAGTGCCAACAATCTCCAAAGCATCCAAAATGTCAGTCATCAACCTGTCGGTCTCGGAGACCATGTACTCCGCGGTGGGGATCTCCTCGCGAAGACGGCCAGATCGGACGACAGCCCTCAAGAAGTAGCGCTTGTCGCTCTCGGCGCCCTTGCCAACAGCCTCGTAGATGTGAATGTTGCGGTTCTCGGTGAAAACGGGCTTGATGTCGAACTTGGAGAGTCTGCCAAGCTCAAGCTGGAAGGCAAGAGCAGGCTCGACGTGACGAATACTGGCATCTTCCTCGTATGTGGGTCCACGGAATGTGTAGTAGCCGGGGTAAGTTCCGTCCTTGTGACCGCAGATGAATGAGATGCGGCGGATGCGGCGGGACAGAAGCTCCTGCTTGAAGTCGTCGACAATGGGCAGAATGCGCTCGAGGATCTCCTTATCATCACTGCCTTCAATGTCGCGAACAGCAATGTTCAGAACACCAGTAAGCTCGTCAGTGTGCTTGGGCTCGTTTACTC